ACTAAGGTCCTCTCTGGGGACACTTTCCTCTGGTGTAGGCTGCCTAGCTCTGACAGTGGTGCTGGTGTCACAGGTGGGCATCAGGGCAGAGCAGCCACTGTTAACTCAGATGTAGGAAGTGGGATAGCCCAGATGAGGAGTCAGGACTGAAGGGACCCCTACACAGCAGGGTGTTCCCTCCTGGACCACGAATTAGGCATAAACCCCTCTCCGGCGTCTATTTTCACAGAGAGATCCTTAATTAAACGGGGAAGAAAAGTAAAGGGGCCGATTTCCGACTCAGGCAGAAAAACGGCAGCAAATGGACCTTGCAGGTGTGATTTTTAAGAGGAAAAAAAGGAAGGTCTGTGATAGAACGGGTTAGGATGCGGTGGGATGTTTTAATTGGGCACGTTAATTAGGGTAGACAAAAGGGGCCTTTGGATTGCTGGACTTCAACATTTTGAGAGCCTCAGGAATGAGTCGGGCATAAGAAAGTGTCCCAATAAGGGACTAGACCTTGGGACTAGACCTAGTTTTAGGGATGTAATCTACGGTTTACAAGGGAGAGGGAAGGAGGATGGACAAGGCCAGCCAGCGCCATGTGAGCTTTGCCTGGGCCAGCTAGAGCCCCTTCAAAGACTGTTGTGGGTCTTGAAATGTGAGCACAGATCTTCCAGAGGCAGAAAGCCTCTGACTCCTGGAAAGAGAGAGGGTGGGAGTGGGGTGGGGGTGGGGTATGAAGGGTGGAGGGGGGTAGGTGCGTGGAGTTATCTTTCCATTGCTTAGGGTCATCTCAGAGCTGTCTTCTGACAGCTGGGAGGTGTGAAGGTAAAGCCTTGCAAGACTGACCATGGCTGGTTGTGTGTGAGCTTCTTGCGGTAGCTGTAGCAACCCCTGACACATGTTGGTGAGATGCAGGGCCAGGGCCAGACAGACAAATGGATGGATGGGTCATATCAGCAGTGGGGAACCAAGGAGCTGAGGCCTCAGTTGGGCGTTCTCCTCTCAGTCCCTTGACACACATCAAGTGATTAGGTGACTAGCCAGCGGGTAGTTCCCACGCGTCCTCCTCTCCATGGAGTGAGGTGAGGGCGTAGCACTTTCTCTTGGTCTGGTGTGCTTGACAAGCTCTTGGATCAGGTTTCGTGATATGGTTTTAATAGGCCCATGTGCTCATGTGTTCCCAATCCACTCTGAGAGGGTCACTGGGAACTGTTTTACCTTTTGGAGTCGGTCATCAATCTGTGACAGATGTTGGCGCTGATGCTGACCTGCACAACACGATGAAGTGTCCCCCTGTCTTGGTGTTGACACTCACTATGGCACCAAATGCTGCTGGGGAAGTGGAAGGGATCCAGGGTAAGATCCAGCCTGCCCACGGCTGCTCCACAGCCTGGAGTTAGTCGGTACAGCAGACTGACCATGCATCTGCCGGCTGCATCTCTTTCTGACCTTGGGGATGGAAGGTAGGACCCCCGGCTTGGCCTCCAGGCTCACAGCTCAAGGAGAGTGTGGCTTATCCCTGCAGAGGAATTGGAGGAAGGAGACCGCAGAGTTGGCTGGCCACAGCTACCTGGATGCAGGCTGTGCATGGAATGCAAGAGACGGAAGAGGAGGGTCAGGTGGGTGCGTGGGCCCTGGAAGCTTCTTGCCCCGAGTTCCCCTGGCAGGGAAAAGCGAAGAGGCAGGGAGGGGAGTGAGGCTGAGGATGAGTGGACAGTTCAGAGGAGGATGGAGAGTGTGGGGGACAGACAGGGCAACGTGGAGGGCGATGGAGGGGAGGCAGCTGCTGGGGGAGATCACGCAGGAGAAAGCAGCCCGGCTCTGCTTATTCTCTGTGTTGGAAGCCTGTGGGTTAGCTGCAGTCTAAGCTTAGGAGGTAGCCTCCTGGAGTATGGGGAGATTTGAAGGCCTGGGCTGGTGCCTGGGCTCTGACTTCTCCTAGCACAGGGTGGGTTGCCGGCTTCCACTTGTGAGGGACTGAGCCCACTCTCTTCTGAGGAACCAGGTTCTTAGCAGCTGCCACCAATGGTCCCTCCAGGGAATGCCCAGCTGGTACCAGGCCTTTGACACCAGACACACTGCCACCCACCCTGAGAGTCTGCTTTTTCTTGCCGGGTGGTTCCTGGGAAAGAGGCTGGCCCAGAGGGGTGGGCAGGGGCTGCCTATGACCAGGATCCTCTATCACAGGTGTGAGAGCAGTGGCCCCGGACAAGGTGGGGAGGGTGGGAGGGTCCCCTGCTGCGCTTCCTGTTCCCCCATCAGGACCTGATGCTGATTCCATTAGAATTCAGAGAGGAAAAATGAGGCATGGCTGAGGTCGAGGAAAGAGTTTATTAGGGTTCTGAGGAGGCTTCCAGCTAGAGGGCACTTGGCAGTTTTCCACAGAGAAGCCCGCTGACACCAAGACTATGGAGCAGGGTTCCCTGGCTTGTGACCAGAACCTCAGGCTGGGCAGTGTCAGAGAGCTAGACAGGATCCTCTGTTTTTTGATGGAAGACACTCAAGCTTAGGCAGGGTCTGCATCTGAGGCAGCTCAGGGACTAGGGGCAGAGGTGAGAGATCCCCAAGGGATGGACCCATCAGCAGCTGGACTTCTGGCCTGAGGAGAGGCCACAGCAGGCCTGGCGGGAGCAGGCAGGGCGGCAGAGCAGGGACATGCTGGAGCAGGGCTTGCAGCAGCTGGGCTGGCAGGAGGAGGCACAGCAGGAGGAGGTGGGCACACAGCAGGCAGGTCTGCACACAGGGCGGCAGAGCAGGGACACGCTGGAGCAGGGCTTGCAGCAGACAGGCTTGCAGCAGACAGGCACACAGCAGGATGGCTGACAGCATGAGGGCTGGCAGCTAGACTGCTGGCAGCATGAGGAGGATCCA